GCAGACTCAAGAAGACAACTTAAAGAACTATAATAGTCGACAAAAGTACGAAGAAAGAACTATAGATTAATTGTAAGAAAATTGAATACATGGTTTTAAGTAGAGAGAAGAAGCCAATGTGTGAGTTGCTCATCGGGAGCATCAAAATCAAACAACGTTCGAAAATTCAACTATTTGGTAATTGTGGTAACAGACGACAGAGTATGTGATATCGAAATCCGAAGACGTTTAGGAATGGTTAAATGCACTTTTCAGAAATTCATTACGGTATGAATGGATCGAAAAATAACATTAGAAATGAATAAATTATTGTCAGACTGCTATGTAGTCTCAGCCGTACTATATAGAAGTGAATAAAATCCTCGATACGCCCAATTTTCTTATAGTTAGGATTTGTTCAAAAGTGTAGGAAATTCAAGTTATAAATAAAATCTCAATGAAATTAGTTATTTTAAAGCGTAAAATGAAACTCCTTTCTCCCTTACGGTTTCAATCTATTTTAACAATATCCACTATATAAAAAATATACGTTTAATTCAGATCCCTTATTCTTTTAACTTATATAATTCTTTTCTTTAGTTTTAAACGAAGAAAAAAAACTCTTGTTTGATACAGAAAGACTAGATCAATACATTCGAAGTCAATAGAGAAGTCCATTAAAAACTTCAGCAACAACAAAAAATGCTGTTGAAAAGAAACATCTGAGAAGTCAACAAGATTACCTTCTCGGGGGCTCCTTATATTACAATCAAGTAATTACATTACGACAAATCAATGCCAAACTAGTAACGATTATTGACAACAAACTTGAGAAGTTCTCGTGCGAAACAAGAGTCACAGAAAAAAAATACAGTATACCATATTATATTCACATTCCAATAGATACGCCGATTGTGAAATTGAACAAGAAAGTAACACTTAACAGAATAGAGCTAAAAAAAATCATTCAAAATTTTACATAGTAAATCTGTAGATATGTTCCCCAATCTTGAGATATAGATGTGTGAATGGCTCAGAATTCTGAGGTATTAGAGATTTTATGTTTCAAAGCTAGCAACTTTATTTTTCACAAATTAAATAATTGAATTATTAGCTGGTATTTTTTTTCTTTTAAATATTTTCTCATATGTAGAAATTTTCCAGTTAAGTCCTAATTTAAAGACATTTGTAGTAATAATAAAACAAACAATTCCTTAATAGCCTTCAAATTTAAGTGAGAGTGTGCTGAAAAGTTTTTGAAACTAAAGAAATAATTTAACCATCGATTGGTGTTTCTTTAAAAATATTTTTATATGTAGAAGATTTCCAGTAAAATTGCAATAACTCCGTTCGAAAATGAGTGTTAAATCTTATAAACGATTACTAGGCTTTAAGTTTATATCAGAGATTGCAAATAAGATCTCGTTTCGATCCAATTCCCCCAAATCTGACCAAAAGATCATGCATAAAAATTTAATTTATAATTCCTTTCTGCATTACCATTAAAGTTGAGTTAACATATCAAACAATTAAGTTGATTTTGTAAGCTATTTAATTTACATGTTTATTGCGTTAGAAACAAAAAGAAGAGTACTGAACTGTTATTTAATATCACCCCCCTCCTCCTATATAGCAGCGAATGCTGGAGAATATCCTCACAAACAAAGAAGAGATTTGAGGCAACAGAAATATGGTACAACAGAAGGATAGCGAGAATAATTTGGATTAAACATGGGAAGTTTTAGATAAAATGGAAACAGAAAGGAAACTTATACTTAACATCAAGAAGATTTGGAATTTCTACGGCACATAATGAGGAGAGAGGTCTTGGAAATTTAACACCCACAGGTCTCACAAGAGGAATAGATGTAAACAACACATAACCTACCAAGAGAGCTTGAATAAATGGATGACAGAACAATGTTTAAGGTTTAGGAGAGATAACAAATGGCAGGAAATTGTAGAGAGTCATTATCGCCAACGTCCTGAAAGGACACGGTGCAGAGAGGAAGATTCAATTAGCTTTAAACTCTTCCTATTTTTTGTATACTGTATTTTCTATATATCTATATCTCTTTATGAGGTGTTATGATTACTTGCATTATGTACATTATTCGGGCTGTTATCCTCATCTTCATTGCCATATTCGCAACGATTCGGCCGTTGTGTGATCCGGCCTTCTTCGGGTGATTGGAATTTCGAACCGAACCTTTTATTTCGCCCGCCGGGGCAGAATGTTTTAGTTCCACGTGCCATGCCTCATAAAAAAAAACATGCACACATCTCCACAAGAACTCATTGTCCAGAGGATAAAGACGTTGGTTAGATCCAGTGACTAGATTCAATGAGTTGTGAGTTCATTACCAGGCCACTGCAGTAGTGAACAAAAATCTTGGAGAGTTGAGTTAAAGGGAAATAACTGAGAGATCCGGAAGAGGCACGGCATGTGGAACTAGAAAAATCTACCCCAGTGGACGAGATAAAGGTTTCGGTTCGAAATTCTAATCACCTGAAGAAAGCCGGAGCTTACAACGGCCGAAACGTTGGGAATATGGCAATGTAAATGAAGATAACAGTCCAAATAATGTAAATAATGCAAGTAACAGTATTTTCTTATATAATATTAAAATCCTCTTATATAGGTTGCTGCAAAAGTAGGTGTACAGTAAATATTATACCAGTGATATATTTGTATAAACATTATAATACGTTTTGTGTGCACGCTATTTTTCTTTACTGTATACCTACATTTATAAATAAGGCACAGTGGAGTAATAGATAGCGACTCGGATTGAAGAATCGGAGAGCCGAGTTCGAATTCCAGTGGAATCCATTACATTCATTTACATGCTAATACCCTTGGGAAAGGTATGAATCCTCTTCATCTCCCCCCACCCCCAACCACCGCTATGGGTAAGTAGACCGGGTTCTGTGGCTTTTGATAACAACTGGGCTACCGCAGAAAGAAATGGCAGCCTACTGCAGAGAAAAAAAATCTGCCTCGTCAGTCATGTATCGAAATATACATCATCGCCTAAGCGTGTATCACTCATGGCACATAACTGACTGGTATTTAGTCAGATATTTACAATTTTGTTATATTATAGCTTTATTTTTATTACCCGCTTTTTAGTAAAGTTATAGAATACATGAATTTACGGGTTTTATTCGAATTCAATTTCTTTAACACATTCCTTGCCACACGACACATCTGTACGTCATGTGGTAAGTTATAGATGTACATGTGCGTTCATTGCATGTCATTTAGTACAATGGAAATAGTTGCAGCAACACGCAAGGCACACATTTGGCCCTGCGGCAGTGAGAAGAAGGAGTGTTTATTTTGTTGTATGCTGTTCCGTCTAACCCCAAAGAGATTCCATTTATAAATAAGGCCACGCAGTCGAAATTCAGAACAAGTATGACGCATTGGAACATGTCAAGGATTCCAAATAAAACACCTTAAGAAAAGCACTGGGGACAACGGCTAGAGAAGTCATCTGAAGGAAAGAAAGACAAGAGGAAAAAGAAGCGGTTGATAAGTGAAATTTTCGACCTAATGAACGGACGCCATCAGATAATCCCAGGTAATGGCGCAGAGTATATCACGCAAAAGAAAACAAGATAGAAATCATGCAGACATAGAAGAAAGAGCTAAATGGAAAATCTGCAGAGATAGAGGTTTAAATATTGAAGAACACAAATACAATTTATATGCATAAAAGCGTTTCTTTTTCTGTGTGCTGTCTCCCTTCACAGATCTCCCAAACTTCATGTCCTTTACACCTGTTGTTAACAATGTTTATCTTTTTAATATCCCTTCCACTTTCTGATCTGCCATCCAGTTGCATACGCTCATCAGGAAGCTTACTCGCTGTTTTCCTCTCTCGCTCTTGTTTTCAATATGCCCCATGAGCGTCAAATTCTGGAGCCCTCTTTCCTCATTATGCGTCACAGAAATTTCAATTGGCATAGGAAATATGCAGTGATAGAAAAATTAAAGAACACGCATACAATGAACATGGGTAAAATGATGAAAGCAGTTCTTTTTCTGTGTCCGTTTAGGAAATGGGCGATAATAGCTTACCAATAATTATATTTTCTGAAAGAAATTCATCATTTATAACATTAAATAACATTTTCAAAAGTTTTGTTTAAGATTTCGTCTAGTTTAGTTTTTTTACAAAAAAAACTGTGAATCTTTTTGTCTGTTTCTTTGTTGGTCTCGCATTTTTTTCCGTTAAAGTAAATATATTTGCAATGGTAGCTTCTGGTTGAAAGCTGAACCAACTTAAATATTTGTCATACGTTGAGTATGGTTTTCTAAATTCTCAAAATGCTTGTCTGAATTGAAATATTAGAATGGATCTAGCTCGGATAATTGAAGAATATTCAGAGGATTTCAAAACACCTCGTCGTTTTACGTTCGGATAATCAAAGTCGGGAAATCAGAGGTACAGATAATCGAGGAAGTACTGTATTTCGAAGCGAAACATGTATTTAAATAGATTATGAATATGACCTTATATCGTTGAATGTCATAGATATCTTCATTATTAGACAGAAGTTCAAAAAACAAAGAAAATAAGCAAAAACAAAACTAGTTTTTTTTATCAAACGGTTGTGGAAACCTCGTCCGATATTGAAAGAAAAATGCTCTCACTGTCACCGCAATTTCATGATTATCCATAGCTTCATAACTTTTGCTTCATTCTTTATTAATATTTTTGTTCCTCCGTTGATTTGCTAATGTTTCCTCTGCTTCTCTCATCCCTTACATACCATATGTGTGTCAAAGTCTCTAAGCATTCTTTCCACATAATGTGTTCGCGAAAATTTCATCTGTCGCTTTCTGGCAGTTAACGACAGTTTCTGTGTCGTTCCTACTCTACTTAATATTTCCTCGTTCGTCATATGCTCTCTCCTTTTTATTCTCAACATTCATTTGTAAAGTCCTATCTCGGTAGCTCCAATTCTTCTCTTTGTTTATGACGAGATTTTCCAGCATTCATTACACTTACGGCCGTATTTAAACACAGGTTCTCGTGGGATAACCGTAGATAAGCCACGTCGAGCTTAGTCAGTATCTCGATGGGTGTTCTCTTGGGAATACCATGTGCTGTAAGCTTGGATATGCTGATGGTGTAATAGATAATAGCTCGGAATTGTTAATCGGAGAGCCGAGTTCCAATTCCCATTGGGTTCGTTATATTCACTTACACGCAAATACCCTTGGGAATGGTATGAATCCCATTTTCCACCAGTTACGGGTTAATTAGTAAGACTTGTATCACTAAACCATTATTATCTAAAACAGAAACATTTTTTACAATCTAAAAATATTTTCCTTGTTTTTAATAGCCTGCAAAATGTTGATGAACCGTAAAAAAAACGAATCAATTAGCATTCAGTGGTGTTCACTAAGTAATGTACGGTAGACATTATATAGAATTCTAGCACTGGTTTATTTGTATCTAATGTTATGTTTTAATCCGTTAATAACTTATATTCTTCTTTTTTTCTTTTTTAATCATTTCACCCCAAGCAAAGCGGGAATGCCATTATTACGCAGGGGTTACAAGGAGTGAAAGTGAGAGAAAAGACAGAGTATAGGAGAGATTGAGGAAAGGATGAAATATGGATGGGGTTCAAGAACACTAAAGATGGCGATTGACGTTGCATTTAAATTTTTGAAGATTGTAGTTACCAGGGAAGCAACGAAACGGGAACTACGAGAAAAGAAAATCTTGGAGTAGGAGTAGCGGTTGCTTTTTTTATTTTATCAGTAAAAAGGTGGGACCTAGGTGCCAATCTAGTAAGACGATTAAATTCATGTAGTTGGGGAACCTGGGAAAAAAGCTCGTCAGAACAGAAGCCATGAAAGTATGTGTAGAAAAGACAGAGGGAAAGTACGTAAAGTCCTTGCCAAAGTGACTGAAGTTGAGATGCCATGTCAGGATCGTTTACATTAAAGATCCTTGTATAGATTTTGTCAAGAATCTTGAGATGTATTGCAACGGTATTCAACGTACGGACGAATGGTTGATTTGCAAACGTGCAACATGGATTCTGACGAGAAAAAAACTTACCGGTAAGTGATTGCAGTAAACTGTATAGTGTCTCTTCCTATCAGTGAGTTATGTGCCATGCGTGATACACGCTTAGGCGATCATGTATCTTTCGATACATGACTTACGAGGCAGATTTTTCCCGCAGTATGTTGCCATTTTTTTCTACGGTCTTTCAAGGCTATTATGCATAGCGTGCGATTATACATAAAAGGATGCACACATTTGTGTATACGATCACACATACATTTCTTACATACACTTACACATACTTATGCTCCCTAGAACAGCACACACATATAAAGCATACATATTTACGTATACACACACACTGTTGTCAACTGCCCACTTAATTTTTGTTCTTTTAATGTTCTCTCTCCTTAACAATGTTGTTTGCCTCCTATTCTCTAACACACAGTAATCCCTTGCGTCTTAGTGGCTTTATGGCCTTGCTTTGGGTGAAATTATTAAAAAAACACTTACAGAGTGTTTTACGAAAATTTATGACCATACGCACAAATACAGTCGCTTAATACATATACATACGTAAAGATGTACATGGCGATACATACGTGCACACACACAGATACGTAATAGCACAAACTTATACACACATCAGAATGCACATTCATACAAAGATGAGCGCACTCATACAGAGATGATTACACTCAATCGTACGCATGCATATATACATACATTTACACTACGACACAAAAGCATCCCTCCTTGTAAAATCCTATTACTTCGCACAACAATGAATAATTTTTCAATTTTGCTGAACTTTGAACTGTTCTGTAATATCAATCATCCTATATTTTCCTTAAAAGTAGAGAAGAGAATAAAAATGTGGCTCTACAGAAGGATGCTGAGACTAACATGGGTGGAACATGTGATCAACAGGGAAGTTTTAAAGAAAGAAGGGAACAAAAACGATACGTATTTAGAATAAAAAATAAAGACAGTTGAAATTCCTGGAACATATAATGAGGAAAAAGGTTTGGAGAATTTGACACTCACATGATATATTGAAGTCAAAAGGGACAGAGGTAAACAGGGAATAGCTTACCTAACGATCTTGTGTAAATGGATGACAGAACAGGGACTAGCAAGGAGAGTAAGGAGACAAACATTACTTAGAAGTACAAAGGATATAGAGTTGTGGAGAGTCATGATTGCCCACGCCCTGAAGGAGCGTAGCACATAGAAGAAGGAGAATCAGCCAAACATGACATAAAACCAATTTATGCGTCAACGAAACAACCGTAAGAAAATGGTAAAATGTTACCGAATATAATTACTTGAAGCTTTGAATAATTCATATGGAAAAATATTCATATTATTCTCTTTGTTTTGAAGTAAAACCAATTTCCAAGTTGATTGCAAGAAAGAAAGTAACAATGCGTTTTATAGTTGCTAGCAATTACACAAAAAAATATTATTTCACAAAAGTTAGAGAAAGTGTGATAGACACGTGAAGTTTATAAATGTAATTATGTATTGAAATACACATCGTGTTTAAAACAGTAAAACAATACTGATATTTGCTAATCTAAATTAAAATGTTAATATGAATGAAGACGTTTACTAAGCTCAATTTAATATGGTACAGGGCCATGATAATTGGGTCTAGATCGACAACACAAATGTTTGGGATTAGCTTGATCGGGATGAAAGCGGAATATCTATTCTCTCCTTATTTTAAATGGGTGGCACTCGTTCCCGGGATTTCCAGCACCTCCCTCATTGAACTAAGAGAGTGCCAGCGTGTCAGCGGTCGCGGGTATTGGGTAATTGTTTCTTTGGCCCGTAAACATATTCATGTGTCTTGGAACCCCGACTTAAAAATGACCTTGTGACACTTTCTGACTTACTGGGGTGGTTAGGTCATTTTCTGACGCCTGAAATATTTACCATCAAAGAAATGCTGAAGGGAATGGACTATTCTTAAACACTGGTCTCATGCACGCGTAGAACGTTTACTTTTAACTCTGTGTTGTGCCACGATCCGTTCGAGAGTACGTGATATTTGGCTCCGATGTGCAAAAATATTTGTCCAGCCCCAGTGCACCCGTCTCCACAGACCTCCTCAAAAGGCGAAATGTCAAGTGGGCTGAACGATTTTGTGTCTTGCCCCCCGTGTATGCGTATGATCCTTACGCCTTGTACCATATTCAGTTCGAATGGCCTTGAAGAGAAATATTGATATTTCGGCCTGTTGGTTCTGAGACGTAAAAGTGACTATTTAAATCCGATCGCAGGATACGGTCTTCCCTGTCAAACCCCGACCTCGGGAAGAGACTATGGCCAGACTATGGCGCATGAGACGATATCAAATATAAAGTACCGAGTTGGCTAGACGAAGTGTGGGGTTCCCATTTTAATTTTGGCCTTCTGCCATATACCATTCAGATGGGCGTTCGAGTAAATACAAAAAGTTTGGAAAATTATTGTGAACCTTTCTAATCATAATTTTTATATTTCAGATTTCACCCCGGAACGGCTTTAACAGCTAAAGAACGTGTATTTGCCGAACACGTATTTCGAAAAGGTGTTTTGCTAATGAATTTTTTTTAGATATGCCTGTTCCGCATCGCAATGCAGTTCGTAACCTTGTTGATAAACTTCGGTAAATAGGTTCAGTGGATGATGCCAAAACGAGGAAGGCCAGCAAATTTAGAGGAAAAAAATGTTGGATATTTCTGATAGTATTTAGTAGCGTCCAAGAAAATCATTATGATAGCGCAGCAGTAATATATCGGTCTTAGAACTGCTCATAAGGGCGTCAGACAAAAATGAAAACTCTTTCCATACAAAATACATAGCGGTGTTCAGAAACAGAATAAAAAGAATCCAAGCCTTTCTTGATGTTAACGGGAATCACTTTCAACATGGTTTATAATTTTCATTCATATTCCTCCCCTGCATACTATACTGAAACATGTTTGTTAATAAAAATATATAACTGCATAGTGACTTCCTGAACACAATGTGTCATCACTTCTCGGCCTCTTTATGAGACTGAAATCATAAATTTAAAAAAAAAAGCTGCAGAGTACAGTCCCTTAAGCAGCCTATCTCCCATTGCAGAGGATTGGGTCTAGGTCATTCACTGGCGCTTGACAAAACGATTGTCGAGGGATGTGGATTATTTCACCCACCAGATGCAAGTAAGCGTGTATGAATTCACGTTATTCGTGACATAGTATCAAATCTACCATCTTGTGTGTATGTGTGTGCGTGTGTGTGTGGGGGGTATATAACCGTTTCTCTTTGCAGTACCCGAAGCACAAAGTGAAGGCTTTCTGAGATTACTTTTATATATCCTTGCGTTGCCCCACTTTAAACTCGGTTTTTCCTCCCATCTTAGCAGCGTGGGCAGGTGGTTAAATGCTCTCACTATTTTATCTATCACTATTTATAACTTCGTTATAACATAACGCATGAATAAAACGAGCCTTGTAACTGAAGATTTAATCTAAGAAGTAGCATTTCTCATTTCTCCTGATGATATAAAGCTTTAAGTTGTCCCAATATCTTTTTAAAAGAAATCTAACTTTTACCATTAATTCTCTTTGAATATTTTTGAAGCTATTTTCATTCATTTTCTTATGAGCTCATATTATCTAAGCATATGTACATAAGTATTTATTTTTAATTTATTTTGTTTAAATGTTATCTTTGATGGATACTCATATTCGAGTAGAAGCTCTGTTTTTTAAAACAGTATTTTTTTTTTATCCAGCTACATCTACCGGTCTGATTTATCGAGAAATCGTGTTAGAAAAATACGCGTCCTTCGTCAGGATTCGAACCTGTATGTATTATGGGCCAACATTAGAATATATTTATTTGTTAGCAACTTGATCCCTTTTCATGTTTCTATCATCGTGTATAAATAAATATAATTTCAATTCATTTCCTTGGCCTCACTCATATTCTAAAATCATTGTAAATTGTTAAAATCTTTATAAGAACTTAAATAATGGAATAAAACTAGATGCATCGCTAGATTTCACATGTCTCATTTGAGAAAAATTAAGCAATTCCAATATTATCAT